TGTAGCTGTGGTTTTCAAGCTAAATTCAAGGTGGCCTGAGACCACGGCTTGCTGCCCTAAAACACTCTGTTCAGGCCACTTTGAAAATAAAGGTCTTGTAGCTACAATTCTGTTCCCAGGTATGGCGCGCATCAGGCTTCACAGACAGTGGAAATAGCTTCTTCCCGGCTTTGCACTGCGAATCAGCCCCACAAAAGCGCTGGCTTTCGGTTTGCAGCTTCCCAGGTTCATAATACTAGTAGGGGGAGGTCTGCCAAGGATGTTTTTAATAGGGTGATGGAAAAGTGGAATATTGTTTTAAATTAGTTTAGTATTGGGGGCTCGAGCTGGGCTTGATTTATAGTGGGAGGTTACTTAATCCTAGGTGCGCATCAAAGGTTTTGCAGGAATGAAACTCCATGACCAGTGCATCAGTGAATCAATATTTTTGGGGAGTGTTGGCGCCATGCTGTGCAGGTGCAGGAACTCCTCCCAGTTTGTTCATGAGTTTTGCAGAGAAACATTTGAAGTCTTGCAGGCCTGCGCCCACTTCAAATAAAATTGGCCCATAGGGCCATAGGATCCCATAGGATTAATTTACATGCCTTGCAGTCCATAGTCGAATCTTAAACTACTCAATAAATCTCAATAAGAGTCTCACACCCTGTCAGGTGATGACCAATTTAGTTGCTTTATTTTCGTTGAGTTCAAACCCACCAACCCGAGTGTTCTGAACTCTCCTTCTGCAGAAGTTGGGCTTCAGGGTCCGACGTTAGCTTCCAGTGTAATGAGACATAAACAGGCTTATGCATGTCGGACATATGAAGTTAAGTGGCCATCTGCAGACACTCACCAAAGCTGTATGGCTCCTCCCTGTCAAGAACAAAACATTTCTTTTTGACATCCCTCATTCTCAAATTTATGAAGGTCTTCTTCAACTTCACTGGCATGCGCCACTTCTGGTCCGCCTCAACTGAACTGGTGCCTCAAAAGTAATCCAAAACCGTATTAGGATCATCGTGATCATCACCTCGATATCACCCCCCACCTGGTCCCGTCGGTCCCGTCGGTCAGGTGGAACGATCAGTTGCGCCTGGCGAAGGCCTTCGCCGGTCGCTTGCGCAGCCTGGGCCGAGAGCCTCGGGGGGTGATCTGGGTCAGTGGGTCGGATGGGAGGCCCAGGAGACGAGGCGTCGTGGAGGCCCAGTTCTTAGCTTTTTTGGGTTAGAAGATGTTAGAAGACCTCGAAGGTGCGCCAGGCCTCAGTCATGGTGCATTCCTTCCACGGTGGCACTGGCACTCCGGCACTCCGTGTCCGTCGGAGTTCCACCGTTGTGGAGCCAACTGCTTGGCCAAGCTCAGGCGTGTTCTGCCGGGCGGAGCCCAGTTGGAAGTCAGTCGGTGCCAAGGCGGCCGCCCGTGAGGCGTGGATGGAGGTCTAGTCGGTGACTGCCTGGGCGATCAAACTGGTGCCATGATCCACAGCCATATATAGATATATATATATATAGTTATATAGTATAAACATGTATAAACCATCTATTATATATAACCCTAACAAAAATAACAAAACACGTGTTTTTTTTTAATGGTGGAGTACTCAAACCATGTCTTGGGATTCTTGGGACCCTATTCCACTCACATGTTGATCTTGGTGCAGGGAGAACCAACACGTTCATTTGATGGGCCATGGAACAAACCAAGTTCGTGCGGATTCCGACCTAGGACTGGGGGGCATTTCCAAGAGATCAATAAATCTGAGATGAACATACTGCAGAAGAGCGGCGATGTTTGGGTGATGTTGGGAAAAGGGGATGTTCCCGCAGAAAGAATCGAGAATACAAGAACTGTTTGTTTGAGAATCTTTCTTTTCGGCTTGATTAGATCAGGTCAACTGTTCAAGGTTTGTGGGGGTGTTCTCAGTTTGAGTGTCTATCCAGATACTTTGGCATTCTTCAGCCGAAGATTTGGACACAGACCCGTTGAGAAAAGCCCAACTGTTGAACCCGAGTGGAAGGCTTGGCCGATTTCTGGGGCCTCCAACAGGCCATGAGAAAGGGCCATTTGCCACTGTCACAGGAGGGTGTGCCTTAGAGACCCCCCCCCAGGCAATGACCCCCTGAAAGAAGGAAGATCGACCAGGAGTCTGTCAGATTTGATCTTCCAAGCTACGAACGTGGTCCGGGACCATGGATCTTCCTTCCCGCGATCCTCGGTGACCTCAGGCGGAGCACGCGGAGCGCGCGGAGCGTGGACCTGAAGGTAAGGGCAGGAGAGAAGCTGAGCAATGGAAATGCGTCGTTGTGAGAAATTCATTGATCAACACCTTGAACATTCACCGTCCTGCACTGCACCACAGCTGATTTTGTGGATCTCTGTTGGAAATTCGCAAGTTCTGCGAGGTGTGGGTGGGTTTGGAGACTTTGAACATTTGATACAAAGCTGACAGCCAAAGGCGGTCTTACGGTCATTGTCAATTGACTCAATTGGCGCAACTTTAAAATTGGTACGCATTACTATTACTATACATTTAGTGGATCACATTTCTGAACTTTGAAGCACTCTTTTATGTTTAAGGTAGGACATGCACCTGTTCTGTTGACATGCTTCTTTGCCCTTGTGTTGAAGCCACGGGAAGGGGACCACCAGTATTTTCGGGATTCCGAGACTAAATATCTCCAGCAGCAAAAAGTAGGAGTTTTCTTTACAATGGCTGAGTGCTATAGCCTCATTGGAAGCAGCAGCTCCGCAGGAGATCTGCCTTAAGCCGGTTCCGGCGGCGGGCTGCAGCGTCCATGGCTGCGCAGGATACCTTCGCCAGAGGCTGAGCAGTCGAAAGCTGCTGCGTTGCAACTGTTCGGAGTACTGCAAAAGTCCGATTTGTTCAGGGCCGGCCTGAAGAACATGAATATGTAGTGAATATGTCTAAGTGAAACCCTTCAAGAAGCATTAGACTAAGCCTGTACTAAGCCTGTGGCGTCCAGAGGTGGTCTTGGCGTAGCATCCTCTGAGGCGGTGGTCTATACGCCCAAAGAAGGCGAAGGCACGAGCCTTGAACCCCAAGCATTCGATGTCTTCATTGTGAGAATTAGAACAGAAATCCAAAAAAGTCCAAACATGTCTGAAGAAGTTCCGATAACCCACCCCCTCGCGATGCTTTTTTTAAATCTTCTTTTTGGATCCTCTTCGACAGATGAATAGTGATGACATGTGATGACCTCCACGCCAAACTGAGTGGCCTTTGCTCGGTGATCTTCTGCTAAGGGCCTGAAGGGAAGCCCGAAGCCAAGAAGGTGCAATCCCTCGGCGCAGCTGTGCGAAGCGCGACGGGGGCTGTTCGGGCTGTTTGGCCTTGGCACATGCTTCTAGCTACTGCGCCTCTCCCGCTGGAAGTCTTCATTGTGTGGCTAAAGCAGCCTTCCATAGCCTTCCCCTCACAGGTTTCGACCTGATGTTCAAGCTGCAGGCCATAGGCTATAGGTCAAGTACTTTGCTCTGAGTTTTTTTAGTTTTGGTGTGACTCGAGGCTGATGGAATCAACAAACCAGCCATATCCAACCATACCAACCGAGTTTTAAATCACACAAATTCATCCGAATTCAAGGGACGAAGAATCAGTTTGGGTCCTCCTTGAGCTTCACACGTTTGTGACACCACCACGTACCCCGTGAAGACGAACATGGACCCTGAAACCACTGCTTGGCAGAGGAAAACCATCTTCCAGGTAGCCGTTGTCAGGGTCCATGTGATTTTCGCGGGAAGGTCGTTTCAACACGTTTCAACCCCAATCGCCAGCGCACCGATGTCGCCGCTGTCGACCAACCTAAGAGGTCGCCGTCGACACCTCCGAGTCCCTCCGGGTCCATGGGAACCCGAACGACGGACGACGGAACGACGAGTTTCGGACATCGAACGACGGAGGTGCTGCGGTTGACCTTGTGGGCCAAGCACCCCTTGCTGTTGCTCAGTGAAGGTGAAGGCGCGCGCTTGGGGGGTGTTTCGGGTCAAAAGACGGTTCCGATGTTTCCGGGGGGGCCGAAAGGGTCGAACGCAGAAGCGGTGTCACTCGGATTGGACTCGAGTCACTCGTCCTCACAGCTCCTGACTGTGATGATCGACTGACAGTTCAGCATGTTTGGGCGTGCCTTGTTTGGGGTGTCTAGGGACTTGGAAGAGAGGCTGCCTGACCAATTGGGCGAATGTGGCCACAGACGCCGAAACACTGAGACCATCAGGGTGGAGTTGGTTTATGCGACTTCTTGTGCTTGAAATCTAATCTGAAACAGGGGAGTACAGCCCAAAACGATATGTCGAACATTTCGGATCTGATCTGGGACACTCATCCGGTCCAAGTTTCAGACCAGACAATCTGCTGGTAACAAGTCGTTCAGACAAGTTCAGACCTCAGCAGCTTTGTAGCTTTCCAAGTCTACCACTGTTCCCTGAATGATTCTCACATGGCCCCCCAGTCCGTTCGTCCATGGTGAAGGTTGCTCCCTCCACAGTTGATGCATCCATCCAGGCAACCGCACGGAATTGGGCGCTCACTTCCGTGGTTGCTGCCTGAACGGCTTCGAGGCCGCCGCAGCATGGATTCCCATCACTGCTGTTTGCATCTCAAAATCGACAACCAGTCTTAGTATAGACTCAACATCTCCATGTCAATATCCTCTGACTCTATGAAATCACAGGGGTCAACCCCCCCACCTGAATTGACGCAGGGATGACTCAACCCAAAACCCCCAGGGGTTGAGATGAATTGTCAATATCGATCAGTCAATAGAGTTGGACCGCATTGAAGTAAGCTGGCCAGCGATTCCTGTCACTGAGTGTGAGAATCCAGATACTGCTTGAGCAGGCAGTGGAATGGTTTACCGGACCCAATCGTCAGGGGCCCTTGGCGCTAGCGGGGTTGGGAACATTTCCAGGTGATCGTATTCAATGACCAGGCCCAACTGAGACACCCACCAATGAATAGTCCTGTAGGAACATGGATCGAACGCGTTCGATGTTCCTAATTGGAGCCTTTTTTGATAGGGAGAATTGGGGATTGATGAAGGCGTGAGCAGAGCCCACGGCCTTGCTATGGAGGAAACTTCTGCACCACATAGACCCAAACTCAGGATCTGCGGCATACACTCTGACTCACGTCCTGTGCATGGCTCATCATGGCTCATCGCCGACGGACCGACCGGACGCGTCCAGACCGGGCGTCCTGGACCACCTCGGCCAGTCGAACGGCGTTCGGCGTTCCGGAGGTTCTCCCGGATTTGGGACGGCCTGCGACGGCCTTCCTGCAACCGAATTGCGATGGCCTCCAAGAGCGATGGCCTCCCAAGCGGCTTCTGTCCTTTGGCCATCCTTTTCGTGCCCAATCAACGGCCGGTAGGCAAAATTCTACACAAACAAAGCCCTCGACCGGGGCCGCCTGAGAATGGAGATGTTTGCCCGGACCCAGCAGATTAACAAGTACCAAAAGCTGAATCGAGAGAAACGCAGGACAAGAAGAGGAACGAAACAACATGCGATCAAGCATCAACATTGATATACATTGATAACATAAAACGGTAACAACACACATAAGAACAAGCACAGCTGGAGTTTAAAAAAGGGCACGCGATGGAACACACATGAAACAACACAACAACACAATCGGGACAACCAGTAACTAGAATAACATACGGTCAACAACCAAATAAACTAAGTCAAGATAAACACACACTAATTAGAGCACAAACATGGCAACATGTCTAGAGAGCACAAGGACACTCATGGGAAACACACAACTATACCAAGGCCACAACAACATACACAAGAAAACCGCAAGTAGAATCAGCAGAACGCGACAGTATGTTTAGGTGCGGAGCGGAGTCAATGAAACATGAATATTGATATTGTAGTTTATTGCAAAATATTGCTAACTGGCATAGGCGCATGTGCCCTGAACAATTCTATGCAAGTTGTCGTCGTGTTGTTGTTGTTGTCGTCAGTCATTTTTTGTTTAAAAAAAACAATATGATGTACATGTAGGTAGCCGCATGACCTTTGCACTATAGGACCTTAGAAGACATTGGCATTTGTTTTGTTGATTGGAACTAAGTTGGAACTAAGGGCGCTTTCTTATCAGGGTGATGATGTGCCTTTGTTCGCGGCCCGAACCTAGGTGTGAGTGCGCACGTGCTCTTGCTTTTGAGGCCGGGTGGTACCCCGATTGGCGGTGAAGAGGGGCCGGGCCATGGCCCGGCAGAAAAAGTAGTCCCGTTCGTTGACCATCGCAGCCAGGGCAGTCCAAAGCACTCGTTAGTGAGGTCGAACGTTCGGCAGTTGAACCCACTGGATGCCAGGTGAACACAGCTTTGCAAGTTCCACCAAACGAGTCAGACTCATTATAGAATTCCAGAAAACTATTCAAGAGAGGTTGAGAGACCTGAATCAGGACCCTGTACAGGGGTATAGGCATTAAAAGGGCTGCTCAAACCTCTCTATAGGATTAGGTTGGGCTGCTGGTCCCACCTCCGTCAGGAGTGACTCCAAAAGCCGCGACGCCTCAGCAGCCGCTGAGCACTTCGCCCGAAGGCCGGGGACCTGGTCCCAGCCACCGTTGCTGCCGGGGAGGGATCACCGAGCCACCGTTGAGTTTGGTTGGAGAGGTGTGCAGAATTCTGAGGTCACTGATGGTGAATCTTGAGAACTTGTATATCAGACTGTTTGCTCCATTGGCATGAAGGGAGTGGACATAAGTGGACCCTCAAAGCAACTGGTTCAGAGTTCAAAAATTATACTTTTTTAGTTGAGTTGAAGTTGAAGGTGCTGAGGATTGGGACATTGATTGTTTTGCATCATCCACATACCAATTCATCCAACACAGTCACAATGAAAACTGATTGGGTCTAAACGTGCTTCGAAGCGTTTCCCACGGCTAGGCACTTGGCAATGCCAGAGGAAGCACTGTCTGCGAAGGCGCAGGCCATGCGGAAAAATAGAACTCAGGCTGACCAGCTCACATGTCGGCCCACCCGAAACATTCAATGGGAACCCCTGTTCTTCTTTGGAGTCTTGTCTTCAGTTCCTTTCTGCCAGGTGTTCCAATCAGAGATGTCCTTTTTGATTTCTTTTATGGCCCGGCCAGGCCATCCCCAAGCTCAAGCCGCGGCCGGGGCGAAGAAGCAAAACGCCTTCGCGAGGAAAAAGTCGGAGCAAGCAAGACGGAGGAAGACATGAAGGTACAATACTGATATCACAGAAAGAGATTTCCATGAAAGTGGCTGTTCCCATGTTTGCCACCTCATGTTTGCAGGGTTGCATATATGAGTTGTTGCTCTTCCGCACGTGATGTCCAAGAAAAGAATGAGAAGACACTGCAGACATGGTCAGAGAGTCAGAGGACCCCCTCTCTCAATGAATTGTTTGGAAACAAATATCTATATATATATATATCCCAGACACTCCATGTATGGAATATATGCCTACATTGACCCCACTGGCACCACCCCAATGTAGGCATTTGTGGCAGTCCCATTAGTCGTGTCTGGCTCTCTGAGTACCCTTGGTCAGAGAGTCAGTTCCCTCTCGATCTCCAACAGCTTCTTCTCGCAACCTCGTCCGACCCATCCCGCAGATCAGGTCCAACGGGCCGGGTCGAAGTCACCTGCCTTTCAAGTCCTCCGGGTAGGACGTGGAAAAACACGATGGACAAGGCCCCCTAGGCCCTATTCTTTTGCCCCTGAAGTTGTGATTCGGCTTAAGTGGTTGGTGGAATGACTAGCCCCAGTTGACTCATATTTGTTGGGAAGGGCAGTAGAAGCACCATGCAGCTTAGTTTGTCTTCACCCCGATGCAGGCCAATTGAAGCAGAAGTTGGAACACGTCCGACAGATGTCTTCTCAGGCTTGTCGGTAGGGTTTGCCGTTTAGCCTTGTTTGATCTTGTTTGATCTTGTTTGAGCGTTCGACTAGCAGGATTCACAGGATACATAGAATGGACCAGTGACCGGAGTATCATAAAGTTCATGACAAGATGACACACATAGCGAAGACACAGACACCGAAAAAGAGGTAGGTAGCAGGATTCGGAAGAATTGGGAATGACCAGTTCCCTTTCTGGCAAGCCCCATAACAAATAGAACTTTTCACCGCTACCAGTTTGTTTCACAGTTTATTCATAGGATGGTCTATGTTGCCTATATTTCAATGCGCTTTTGGCTGCTAATTTTGGCAAGTGCTACATGTTGACGCTCTCCAGGTTCATCCAGGTTCTGTGTTGAACTTTGGATGTTTACCTGAAAGGTGCATGACATGTGCAGTGGCCATGGCCCATGGCACCCTCCATACATGGTGTAGATATGTGTAGATGGTACAGTGATTGCAGGATGTTCTACTGGGTGACCAGGACGGGCTGTACCTGCTCCTGCAGCATGCTGCAGCAGCGCTGCAGTTGTTGGATCGACAGTCCCTGTGCACAGGAGTCGCAGTTCTCAGATGAGGCCTGGCCCGCACTGGATCTGGAGACGGCCGAGGGAGTGATGGGCCGGGGGGTCAAAAGCCAGAGAACCACTTGGGCAACATGAGGTGTTTTTTTGGTTTAAACACATCCCAGGTGTCCTCCTCTATCCACCGGTATTTGAAGCTTTCACTTGGGAAAGCTGTTCGAGGACACGGATGTTGCTGGGATGTTCAGAGGTGACATGTCTCAAGTTTGTCTCAGAATCCCTTGCAACCCATCCCCAGCCAATGGATTCTCATGAACTTACTTGGTTGTTCCGTATCCTGTTTCGAGATAAACCCAAGTCGCCCATCGAGTTGCAAATTGATGTTCAAGTCGCCCGTCGAGTGAATTGGCACCTCTTGATTGGCTTGTTCAACTTGATTGGCCACACTGCCAATCCATTCCGACATTTGCCCGCCCCACATTATGCCATGGCCAAACATGTCCTTTTTTGCTTTGATGGACAACACCTCCAATGTCCCCTCCCAATCTCCACGCTTTTGTTGAGACCGTGAATCGCAGTACTTTAGCAATGCCAAGTGCTTGATGTTGCCAAACGACTTCCCAACCTTCACCCCAAGCGCTTCAGTTCTCTCCACGCGAAGCGACCCGTGCCCCACGACGTCCAGCCGGTTGCCAGTCGCGGGAGTCCAGCCGTTCGGGGATCCGCTCGGACCTGCCCAGCCGCTGGCCCGGGGGGCCCTGGGGTGGGTCCGGTTCGGTGTGCTTGGGCCTATCCAGTCGGAGCAAAAACGGATCCGAAGAGATGAGACTTTAGGGGAATTTTTCGGGGGTGGAGAACCACCAGGTGTTCACGTGAAAGAGAAGGAGCTGGGCTGGGAAGTTTTGGGTGGGATGTGATGGATAGGTGCGAGTGGGAGAACGATGGGAAAGTGATGGAATACAGCTGAAACAGCCCAACACTTTTAGTTGTTCACAGGGGCACTCTTGTGTTGGATTATGTATTGGCACTCCTCATACTGCCGACCTGCGCCGAAATCGTGTGAAAGGCACTCTGCCAGATTGGTTGAGAAGAGGCGTGGTGAATGAGCGAGAACAGCGCAATGCCAAGTGATTGAATTTGTAGGGAAGAATGGGCACTGGCAGAGGACAAAATACTGTATGCTTTTCTTCGATTCATAAACATGCATGTTACCCCTGCGATCCCCTGGGTTGGTCCAGGTCAACGGTTTTTTGTCAGTCGCACTTCGCCCTTAGCCCACACCCAGTTTGGACTGGTTTTCCAGGGTGTGGGGTGGGCAAGTCACAAGCCAGTGCTAGCAGAGCATGAAGTGCTTTCAAATTTCAGATGTCGAGATGGTTGTGGGCCTCCATCGACCATTTGGTGACCCCGACATGGGTCTCCGGGAAGGCTTCAGGGAATCCATGAATCCATGGGGTCACCTCAGCAAGGGAATGAGTGACCTGCAGCCAAATTCTGACTCTGAAGATCTGACATCTCAAAGCAGGTGGGAGCGGCTTGGCAAATGTCATGTCCGCTTGTATTTTTGTGTGCCGTGAGCAAAAGAGAAGCTGTCCCAAAAATTATGTTTGGCGGCTACGTCCAACAAGGGTTTTGACGGTTTCTTTGGAGCTTGCAAGAAGTGAAGCAATTTCAGCTCAGAAGGGTATGATGATACCAGAATTGCATGAAGGACATCATCAAGCAAGCGGCCAAGGCACGACATGGATTAGAGATGATCGGATACGAACGGCCTACTACAATGTTAATAAGCTGAGCGACCCGGCCTTCAGCCGCCCGGCGATTTCACAGTCAATGTCTAGCCGCACGACATTTGCTCAGCTGGTCAAGCCAT